AGTCTAAGTAAACCACGAAGTATTTGTCACGAGTTCAAGTAAATCAGGAAGTATTTGTCATGAGTCTAAGTAAACCACGAAGTATTTGTCACGAGTTCAAGTAAATCAGGAAGTATTTGTCATGAGTACAAGTAAACCACGAAGTATTTGTTACGAGTTCAAGTAAATGATGAAGTATTTTTACGATTCCAAGTAAACCACGAATTATATGTCATGAGTACATGTAAACCACGAAGTATTTGTTACGAGTCCAAGTAAATCATGAATTATTTGTTAAAAGTCCAAGTAAGTCATGAAGTATTTGTCAAGAGTCCAAATAAACTGCTAATTATTTGTTTGGAGTTCAAGTAAACCACGAAGAATTGGGCACCAGTTTAAGTAAATCATGAAGTATTTGTCACGAGTCCAAGTAAACCACGAAGTATTTGTCACGAGTTTAAGTAAATCATGAAGTATTTGTCACGAGTCTAAGTAAACCACGAAGTATTTGTCACGAGTTTAAGTAAATCATGCAGTATTTGTCACGAGTCCAAGTAAACCACTAATTATTTGTCAAGAGTCTAAGTAAACGACGAAGTATTTTTCACCAGTCCAAGTAAATCACGAAGTATTTGTTACGAGTACAAGTAAACCACGAAGTATTTGTCATGAGTCCATGTATATCATGAAGTATTTGTAACGATTCCAAGTAAATCATGAAGTATTTGTCATGAGTCCAAGTAAATCATGAATTATTTGTCACAAGTTCAAGTAAACCACTAATTACTTGTCAAGAGTCGAAGTAAACTACGAATTATGTGTCACACGTCTAGGCAAACCAAGATGTATTTTTCACTAGTCTAGGTAAACCGTGATGTATTTATCACGAGTCTAGGTAAAACATGATGTATTTGTGACGAGTCGAAGTAAACTATGATGTATTTTGTCACATTTCAGGTAAACCAAGAAGCTTATGTTAAACGTCTTTAACTGAAAATATTGAATTTTATTGTAGGGTGAAATAATGAAAGAGGAATTTTATGAAATATGGAAATTTGTACTCACAAACTTCTGCTCTGGTTTCGTTTTCGTCTGAGCCGTTGCTTGAGGTTTTATGATAGTAATCCTGCAAAGCATCCTCAACTATGGTACTGAACCAGAAGTATAGAGAGGTGGCAATCAAATGCATCAAACCAAATCTGGATAAAGGTTTCATCCTGTTAATTATTACCTGCAAAACCCAAAAATGCCATGAAATAATGAGTTGAAAAAATACTCCAAACAACACGAACTATAACTGAGATAAGTTGGTGACTCAAAACGTCTAAACAAGACGAACTATTACTGATAATAATTTGGTGACTCAAAACGTCTAAATAACACGAACTATAACTGACATAATTTTGTGACTCAAAAAGTCTACACCGTCATATTATTTTTAAAGCATTTTAACCAAATGAGATTACATGAACTCCGGTTTCCTGGAAACCCTTATCAACTTTTGTAGCTTGTACCTCCAGTTTCCAGAAAACCCTAATCAACTTTAGGAGACTTAGACATTTTGTTTCTTACCCGTTGGTTGTAAGTTTGTAATATTTTTGATTTACCAGATGGTTATAAGTTTTTACTGTTTTATGACTTACCGGTTAGTTATACGTTTTTGCTATTTTGCTACTTATCAGAGGAATCTACGGATGTTGTGTTTTAGTGTTTAACAATACAACAAATGGTGTGTAACAAAGTACGTTATTTTCATGAGGAAACTATGGATATTATGTTGTATTGTTCAACAATACAACATATGGAGTATAACAAAGTAATAAGAACGTTATTTTCATGAGCAAAGTGCGAATTTTATATTGTTGTGTTTAACAATACAACAAATGGTGTTTGGATGGAATATAATTTCCCTAAGTAAAAACAACTTACATTTGCGTACTTGAAGCAGATGAAGAGTTGATAAAACGAGTAGATTGGAATGATGACATGGAGAACGATGGCTGCTACGTCAACACACTCATTGTTGTTATTTACGATGAAGACTATCTGCTGGCCTAGTTGCAATCCTTCGTAAATTAAGTGCCCGAAACAAAACGCTAAGACATGAAAAACGAAAACTTGCGTAATACTTGTGCATATAAAAGTATGTAGGCGAAACTGTATATACCCAAAACTTGAATGTTGTAAAAAAAAAAGTAATATCTACAAAAACAGGCTTCATATAAGAAACCCACCAGCGAAGAAAGTCCCGGAAATTGATTACCTTTGTGGAATAACCACTACGCAATCAAGAAATGATGGTAAGTAGTGGAACAACATTGATCACTAACTTATCTGATGAAAACACCACATGACAGGGAATCGGTACCATTGGTTTTGTGTTTTGTTGGCTAGATTATTTCTTTAATGCTAATTTCATTAAAAGTATGGATTAAAATGCTTAATATATTTATTTCCCCGAAAAAGGGCCAAAGGCCGCCTAAAAGGGGTCACCAGTTTTAACCAGTCGCACCATTATGCACTAGTGTGTTGTCCGTCAGTCAGTCAGCAGACACTAAAATGACGTCACATAAGAAACGCTTAACGTTGGGAATTGTACTGTCGTGACGTCAGTGAAACGTGCGTATGCCATAAATCACCAGAAGAATCACGCACTCTGTTTGCTGCAACACAGCATGATATATGAAACTGAAAAGCAAGAAATAAAAACATTTGTTACTTTTAATCTTGGTTTACTTACTCTTCAAAGAGAACACTTTTAGAGACCCTGCGAAAATACATCAAGTTTTATTTATGTACTTTATTATATAATATATAATTTTATAATTATTTTGCACTTATAACAGGCAATATGGATTTAGAACTAACCTACATCTAAAATAGCCGAACCTCGTGATATATTATTAGGATTACGTCCAAAAACATCGTTAACAGAGAGGGTACCCAACTGGTGAATCGATATATGATCTTGCATACTCCTAGCAAGAACAGTATATATTACATTGCTGGCTAATGTTTAGTACCATATTTCATGAAAAGTAATGACAGTTTAGTCCAAATATCTGCACAAATTTGAACCTTTACTTTAATTTTCACAAAACTCTGCTGAAATATTCGACTTAAGTACGAAAGTTGACATACCCATGGTAATACCATTTACTCCTTGACATACAACAGATAACGTAGTAACTGATATGACAGATAAAACCATGGCCATGTCACTTACTCCTTGAAATACAACAGATTGTGTAGTAAACGGTATGACAATTACAACCATGCTCATGTCACTTATTACTTGAAATACAACAGATTATGTAGTAACTGGTATGACAGATACAACCATAGCCATCTTACTTACTCTTTGAAATACAAGAGATTATATAGTAACCAGTACGACAGAAACGACCATGGCCTTGAAGTACAAGAGATTATGTAGTAACCAGTACCACAGATATAACCGTGGCCATTTCATTTACTCCTTGAAGTACAACAGATCATGTAGTAACCAATATGACAGATACAACCATGACCATGTCACTTACTCCTTCAAATGCAATAGATTACAAAGTAAATGGTATGATAGATACAACCATGGGGATACCACCTACTCCTTGAAATACAACACATAACATCGTAAACAGTACGACAAATACAACTGTAGCCATGTGACTTACTCCTTGAAATACAACAGATTACGTAAATACTGGTATGATAGATAAAACCATGGCCAAGTCATTTACTCAACCATTAACGTGTCGCTTACTTCTTGAATAAAAGATATTACATAGGAACTTGTAAAACAGATACAACCATAGTCATGCCATTTAGTCCTTGAAATACAACAGATTATGTAGTAACTGATATGACAGATATAGCCACGGCCATATCACTTACTCCTTGAAATACAACACATTAAGTAGTAACCAATATAACAGATACAACCATGATCATGTCACTTACTCCTTCAAATGCAATGGATTACAAAGTTACTGGTATGAGAAATACAACCATGGACATACCACCTACTCCTTGAAATACAATGCATAAAGTAGTCACTGGTGTGACAAATGGCCATGTCACTTACTCCTTGAGATACAATAGATTACGTAGTTGCCAGTATGACAGATACAACCATGAACGTGTTGCTTACTTCTTGAATAAAAGATATTATATAGGAACTTGTAAAACAGATACAACCATAGTCATGTCATTTACTCAATGAATACAACAGATTACGTACAAACCAGTATGACGGATATAAGCATGGCCACATCAGTTATTTTTTGAAATACAACAGATTACATAGTGACGAATATGACAGATACATCTATAGACATGTTACTTACTCCTTGAAATTGGAAAACAAATATAATGAGAGCCATGTCATTTACTCCTTAAAATATGACAGATTGTTTAGTAATCGGTATGACAGATATAACCAATGCCATGTATCATACTCTTTGAAATATAACAGATTACACAGTAATTGGTATGATAGATACAATGATAATCATGTCACTTACTACTTGAAATTCTACAATAGATACAACCAAAGCCGATTCACTTACTGCTTGAAATACAACAGATTACGTAGTATTCATTATGACAGATACTTCCATGACCATGTCACTTTTTTGAAATATAACATTATATAGCAAGTAGTATCACAGATACAATTATCACCATATCACTTCCTGAAATACAACTGAGTAAGCAGAAACCAGTATAAAAGATACAACTATGACCACGTCAATTACTCCTTGAAATACAACAGATTATGTAGTAACTGGTATGACAGATATCACCATGGCCATGTCACTTACACCTTGAAATAGAACAGCTTACATTGTAACCCATGTGACAGATACAAAAATGTATAAGTCACTTACTCTTTGAAACTGTACGACAGATACAACCATAGTCATGTCATTCAATCTGTGAAATACAACAGATTATGTAGTAAATGATGTGAATGGTATAACTATGGCCATGTCCCTTACTCCTTGAAATACAACTGATTACGTAGTAACTGGTATGACAGATATAATTATGGCCATATCACTTACTCCTTGAAATACAACAGATTATGTAGTAAACGATGTGAATGGTATAACCATGGCCATGTCCCTTACTCCTTGAAATACAATTGATTACGTAGTAACTGGTATGACAGATATAACTATGGCCATGTCACTTACTCCTTGAAATACAACTCATTATGTTGTAAGTGCTATAACAGATATAACTACGGCCATGTCATTTACTCCTTGAAATACAATGATTATGTAGGAACTTGTAGGAGAGATACAGCCATTATCATGTAACTTACTCCTTGAAATACAACAGATTACGTAGTAACCAATAGGAAAGACATACCCGTGGCCGTGTCATTTGTTATACATGTACATATTTGTTATACATGTGTCATATACATTAGATTGCACAGTAACCAATATGACATATACAACTATAGCCCTGTTACCTACTCATTGAAATTGTATAAAAGATACAATCATAGCCATTTCATTTATTCCTTCTAATACACTAGATTATGTAGTAACCACTATGACAGATATAACCATGGCCATGTCACTTGTTCCTTCATATACAACAGATTGCACAGTAACCAATATGACATATACAACTATAGCCCTGTTACCTACTCCTTGAAATTGTACAAAAGATACAATCATAGCCATTTCATTTATTCCTTCTAATACACTAGATTATGTAGTAACCACTATGACAGATATAACCATGGCCATGTCACTTGTTCCTTCATATACAACAGATTGCACAATAACCAATATGACACATACAACTATAGCCCTGTCATTTATTCCTTCAAATACAATAGATTACGTAGTAACCAGTATGACAGATACAACTATAGCCATATCACTTACTCTGTGAAACTGTACGACAGATAAAAAAAATTCCATGTCATTTACTTCTTGAATTACAATGGATAATATAGGAACTTGTATAAGAGATACACCATGGCCATGTTTCTTACTGTTTGAAATTGTATGACAGATCTAAACTTAGCCATATCACTTACTCCTTGAAATACAACGGATTACTTAGTAACCGATATGACAGATACAATAATGGCTACATCACTTACTCGTTAAAACTATGACAGATACAATCATAGTCATGTCATTTACACCTTCAAATACAACAGATTATGCAGTAACTGATATGACAGATATCGCGATGGCCATGTCACTTACTCAATGAAATACAACAGATTACGTAGTAACCGGTATGATAGATACAACTATAGCCATGTCACTTACTCTATGAAATACAATAGACTTTGTAGTAACTGGTATGACAGATACAGTCATAGCCGTTTCACTTACTCTATGAAACACAACAGATTACGTATTATCCATTATGACAGCTACAATCATTACCATATCACTTCATCAAATACAACTGATTAAGTAGTTACCGGTATGAAAGATACAACTATGACCATGTCACTTACTCCTTGCTATACAAGGGATACAACTGATATGAGAAATATAACCATTATCATGTCACTTACTCATTGAAATATAATAGATTATGTAGTAACTGGTATACAGATATCACCATGGCCATGCCACTTACACCTTGAAATATAACAGATTATATAATAACTTGTATGACAAATGAAACCATGGCCATGTCATTTACTCCTTCAAACACAATAGATTTTATAGGAACTTGTACCACAGATATCACCATGGCCATGTCACTTACACCTTCAAATAAAACAGCTTATGTTGTAACTGTTGTGATAGATACAACCCTGGCTATGTCATGTACTCCTTGAAATTGTATGATAGATACAACCATGGATATGTCACTTATTCCTTGAAATACAATAGATTATGTAATAGCCGGTATTACAGATACAACCATAGTCATGTCACTTATTCTTTGAAATAGAACAGATTACGTAGTAACTAGCATGACAGATACAACCATGGCCATGTTAGTCACTCCTTGAAATAGAAAAGATTATGTAGTATTCAATATGACAGATATAACCATGGCTATGCCACTTATTCCTTGAAATAAAACAAATTACGAAGTAACTGTT